TTGGGTAGTTCACAAGAATAAAATCAGCAACCAAGCCATTCCTGGTGCTATGACGTCACTGACCCTGCATTATTGCAAAGCACTTTCAGTGACATTGTTAATTCAGGGCTTATTGAAAGTCCCTTTCCGAAACCGCAGTGAAAAATACCCAGCTTCAGTCCGAGATAGAGCGCTTGGTGGAAAGACTCGAAGTTTCAACGTGAACTTCTGAACTGTATATTGCCAAATGGACAGGTTTCTAGACAGTGGCTACTGGACTCACCCTCAACAGGTTGTGTGTACTGTTTTGCATGCAAACTGTTCTCCAGCAAGCTCGGTGGCTTTAGTCAGAGGTTTAGTGACTAGAAGCACTCTGAAAGAATAGGGGAACACGAAAAGAGTGCAGAACACAGATCATGCATGCTTGCTTTGCACCAGCAGACAAAGGGCGTTGCTATAGATGCATATCTCATACAGCAACTTGACGTGGAACGTAAATACTGGAGGGACATTTTGAAAAGAGTTGTAGCAGTGATCATGTTCTTGGGTGAAAGAGGACTTGCGTTTAGGGGAGACGATGAACGGTTTGGGTCAACCCATCACGATAATTTCCTTGGCATCCAATAATTGCTATCACAATTTGACCCATTCTTTGCTGAACATATTAAAAAGTTGGGCGGAAAAGGAAGAGGCACAGTGTCCGATTTGTCATCGACAATATGTGAAGAACTCATTGAGCTAATGGGTCAGAAAACTTGCCAAACAATAGCAGATGAGATTCGGAATGCCAAATATTTTTTTAAAAATGGTTGACTCCACCCCAGACCTGTCACATGTGGACCAACTGACGTTCATATTCCGGTTTGTTAACAGCAGCAGGAATGTAGTGGAGCGATTTCTGGACTTTGAACAAATTGAGAGCCACACTGGTAAAAGTTTAGCAGACTGTGTGACTTTGATGGTGGAGGGCCTTGGGTTGAACCTCTCAAACTGTAGAGGTCCGTCATATGACAATGCAAGCAACATGTCAGAAAAATACAATGGGCTACAGGCCCCCCTGAAACAAAAAAAAACGTCTGACAGAGTATGTGCCTTGCGCAGCGCATTTTCTTAATTTAGTTGGTGTTAACACCTTAGACGGCAGTGGTCCAGAGGATGACGAGTTTTGTTTTATATGTTGCAGTCACTGTACACATTTTGCTCTTCATCCACACACAGATGGAGGAAAGTCTTTCGGAAGACAGATGTCAGACTGGCATTAAAATCGTTGTCCAGTACTCGGTGAAGTGCTCGGGCAGAGTCAGCCAATGCACTGCGGAGAAATTACACCCACACTAGAGAGGCCTTCGGTGGTTTGTGCAATGATGATAATGAGAAAAGAGATACTCGAATTGAGGCCGCTGGACTATGTGCTAAATAGGACACCTTAGAGATGGTGTTCATGGCACATTTCTGGGACGTCGTACTTGACCGGTTCCACGCTACAAGCATGCACCTACAGAAAAGTGACATTGACATCTCTGTAGCAGCACAGCTTTTGTCTTCGTTGAGAGATTTTGTGGCGGGACAGCGAGACCAGTTTGAGGCTTTTGAAAGGGCAGCCTTCAATGTGACAGGTGTCTCTCAGTCATATAAGCACGAACTTCAGCGAAAGAGGAAACGGAAAACATTTGCAGATGAGAGCTCAGAGCCAGGTGTGACACTTGAGGGGAGGGAGAAGTTCAAAATAGAAACATTTTATGTGATAATTGAAAAGCTAGTGGCATGCCTTGAACATCGCTTGGACGCTTACAAGCGTTTCACCAGTCTCTTTGGAGTTCTGTTTTTGTCAGATCAGGTGTCTAACAGTGATGTCATAGTGGAAAAGGTAAATTCACTCTCCACTGCATATCCATCAGACCTGGACATTAATTTTGCCAACGAACTCATACAATTAAAGTCTTTCATGTCTGACTCTGAGGGTGAGAAGTGCCCAACTAAATTGCTTGAAACCTTGCAGGCACTCAATCTGCAGTCAGTGTTCCCCAATGTTTCCGTGGCACTTCAGATTTGTCTAACTTTGCCAGTGACAAACTGCCAGGGTGAGTGGACATTTCCCCTTTTAGGCAGAATAAAAAGTGAGCTGCAGAGTAGCATGTGCCAAACACGTCTCAGCTCATTGTCACTTATGTCAATAGAGTCAGACCTTGTCAGACAGCTAGATTTTGACGATCTAGTGGATGATTTTGCGAGGAGGAAGGCAAGAAAGACACCAATATAGGAAAGTGGGGTGGGGGGGGCATCCAAAAGACATGTGCCCAATGGCCTCACGGGACCATGATCTGGCCCTGCCTATGGCTGTCTCTTTCACTTTATAAAAAAAAAATCCACCTTTTTTTCCAGGATGCCCAAGTCCCAGTTTTGTACAGCGTTGTGAATTGTTGCATGTAGATGCAACAATATATTCGTCCAACTTGATATCGATGTTAGGGTCCATTGAGTACATTTCTCCTCTCTGCTTGTTCTTAGAGATGCCATTGCCAATGATGATTACTAAATGAAAAATACAATTGCCAACCACATGAGTGTAGTGGCTATAGATAGACTATTTCAGGTTAGCTGTCCTTCCTAACTTACCTGTTTACAAAAAAAACAGAGTTTGGTAGCCAAATACAACTAGACTAAGTGATGACCTACAATGGCTGGGCATTCTTCAATGTCTATACATTATTGGCCTGTAGCCATTCCTTTTGTCAGCTGAGATAATGCAATTATAATAAGCATTGCCAAGTCATCTAAACACATTCACATGCAATATTTCACATGGCCGGTGCATACTGCAATTCCATTAAAATATACGAAAACATGCTTCTTACTAAATTTCATTATGTCACAGACACGTGTAAAGTTTTCATGTTCTTCTTGCATATGCCTGGATGTTCTCCAGGGATTCTGCCTTCCTCCTCTCGTGAATACCAGCATATGTCTTAAATTGTCTCGATGTAAAACAGTACTTGACACAGGGCCGTTGAAGTACACTGAAATGACCTACACGCTCAGATTGAACGTGGCAGGAGATATCTCTATAAACAAGCGTTGCCAGCTGACTGACATCATAACAGAGACCTTTACTGACGTGTCCAAGTGCGCTCTGGTAATGGGGTGACCACAAAGTAAATGTATGCCCAGACTGTAGCCACGTGACGTTGACATTGCAGATCAAGTCTTCGTAGCTGTGCAATACAGCCACCTGGAGGCAAATTGCTGTATAACAAAGCCTTGTGGCCAGATAAGCATTGCATGCATTCATTCCGTATTCTCCCAATTGGCCCACATAATTCGTACTGGCTTGTTTGCTCGTCCTAGGACGGAAGCTGAAATATTAAAGATGAACATTTACGTTTTCTTGTGTGATTCACCCGCTCATGATTATTAATGACGGGGGAGGGGGGGGGCTCTTTTGCAATGACGTCACGTACGGATGTAACATTGTGCTGCGTATATTTATTTAATACCGTCACTCTTTCAATAAATAAACGTAAAAAATAAAAAGCGAATTTGGGTAAAAATATTTCTTTCCGCTCGACCTTCTTCTACGGGAGTGTAAAAATCCACCCGCTCATGAATATTAATGAGGGGGGTGGGCTTCATGTGGAGTGACGTCACGCGCGGGACACACATTATTGGCTTAACACATTCCTGCGGAGGGAGCTGGTAGGAACGTTGGGTTGCTCGGTCAATGGCCTGCAGGGTCAACGGCGGCGTGGTGTATTCCGCAAATATGCCCGACTGTGAGGGCGGGGACAAGCCGGCGTGAGTAGGTTAAACGTTGAGTTTTATAAGGGCACCACGGGGTGACCAGCCTCTCCCCACCCTCCCCACCCAGCCCCTCCCTCCCCACCCTCTCCTCTCCACCCAGCCCCACCCCTCCCATTTTTGGATGCACGACGGACGGACACAATAATCCCCTGTGGGCTGGTGAAACCAGGTTATAGTAGTAATAATCTAGTAGGCGTGTGATCGAGTTGGAGAGCGTTGTACTTTCATAAGCGTTTTATTATCTTGAGAATACGGTGGTTGTATTTTACACGAACATTCGTGATTTAATATTTTTAAGCCGCCTTCCTAAGGAATGGTTTCGGCCATGTGGCTTTCCCACCGCTAGTTGATAGCCCTTGATGAAGATGTGTTCCAGTGTTCGTATAAAACGTGGTTTTTTTCTGCAATCGTTTTCTTCCCCGGTCTCGATGAGCTCTCATCCGATAAAAAAATTTGACCTCAAGTCTCACTAAGACGTAAAGACTACTGCCTAAAATGACTGCCCAACAATTCACGATTGTTGCAGTAATTTATTTATTTTCTTTCTCCGTGACTTTACCGAAATAACCAAAGAGTAGTTGTGTATTACACCGCATTGTCTGAGCCGGTTCAAATGCAACTCAAGCTGCACACGTGGTCTGCACTCCAAGATCCGCCACTGACGGCGCCTGTGCCAGGCTAGGTGCACTTTGAGGCCACGTGAAGTGTTAAAGGCTCACTGACAGGAAGTCACGGGACAGACCCAGCAGGTGCCACGGGTCAGTTGACTGAGATGACTGGTACCCCCTACTGTGCCGACTTTCTGCATTTATCCACCCGGGGCTCCGCGGTTGTTGTGAGCTCCTCTGACCTCAGTTGTTTTTTAACAGACTGTTGGGGCAAGCGAGCACCTATCAAAGCCGGCACGGCACACGAGTGGTGGGGTGGCATTTGTCTCCCCAGTAGCGATGTGTACACACCACACCGGCTACTCATTTGAGGCTGAGTTTACCTAGGGGAGGCCCAGGATCCGGTTCAGATAATCGTCACTGGGTGTTAGTGGCCGTGAGCTGGAATCGAACCCGGCTCCCCGGGGATTTGTAGCGCATCGTAGTGCTAACCGCTGCACCACCGCTCCCACCTCCCCACACCTCCCATCCCACCGCTCCCACCCCACCACGTGGAGTCGCTCATGCCAAGCGGCCGAATAGCATTGTGGGTACCGGAACACGTGGTGGCCCACGTGGGCACCTCGCCCCTCCCCCTCTTCCGGTGTGCCGGCGCTGCCATTCTACCGCCGTCGGTCCCTCTCGGAGCTCCGTGGAGCTGCGTGGATTGCGGCTCCCATGGCGAACCTCTTCAAACGTTTGGGCCTGGACGACTGGCTCATGCAGCAGTGTAAGCAGATGGGCATATCGAAGCCCACGCCGGTGCAGGAGAACTGCATCCCGCCAATACTGAGAGGTGAGCGAGAGAGCGAGGCCTGCGGCCTAGCGGGACAGGCGTTTTACGGTTTGCCTGAGTTGGACGGCCGGGTCCCGCGTGCCGTGTGCCTGCCTGACTGAACCCGCCAGCTAATGTTAAACACTGTGTGTGTGTAACGTGTATGGACATCGGGTCAGAACTGTATTGGCTGGGTAACGAAATTTAACGTTAAATACTGTGTGTGTGTGTAACGTGTATGGACATCAGGTCAGAACTGTATTGGCTGGGTAATGAAATTTAACGTTAAATACTGTGTGTGTGTGTAACGTGTATGGACATCAGGTCGGAACTGCATTGGCTGGGTAACGAAATTTAACGTTAAATACTGTGTGTGTGTATAATGTGTTAAATACTGTGTGTGTGTATAACGTGTTAAATACTGTGTGTGTGAGTGTGTAACGTGTTAAATACTTTGTGTGTGAGTGTATAACGTGTTAAATACTGTGTGTGTGTGTGTGACGTGTATGAACATCAGGTCGGAACTGCATTGGCTGGGTAACGAAATTTAACGTTAAATACTGTGTGTGTGTATAATGTGTTAAATACTGTGTGTGTGTATAACGTGTTAAATACTGTGTGTGTGTGTGTGGAACGTGTTAAATACTGTGTGTGTGTATAATGTGTTAAATACTGTGTGTGTGTATAACGTGTTAAATACTGTGTGTGTGTGTAACGTGTTAAATACTGTGTGTGTGTATAATGTGTTAAATACTGTGTGTGTGTGTATAATGTGTTAAATACTGTGTGTGTGTGTGTAACGTGTATGAACATCAGGCCAGGACTGCATGGGGTGTGCCCAGACGGGCAGTGGGAAGACGGCCGCGTTCGTGCTACCTATTCTACAGAAACTCTCCGAGGACCCTTATGGGATTTTCTGCTTGGTGCTCGCACCCACCCGGTAAGACGGTGTCTTAAATCAGATTTTGTGGAAAGAAGATTACCCGTAACGTCTGTTAACCCTGCGGTGTTTGTTGAACAATCCTGACTACCGATGAGACCCACAAAGGTACAAAAAAAACAATGCAGTGTCTGGTTAATGCTGCTGGAAATAATTGTCATGAAAAGCACAGGACAAGCTATTTATTAGCATTAAATCGAACAATCAAACCCGAAGTGTTTAAAACTTGTGAAGGTAGCACACCCTAATGGACTAACGTGGTACCTTGTATCATGGAGAACACTTTTACTTTCCTGCCAAAAAGTGAATTGGTAATAGTGATAATTGTGGTGTTGAATGTGTGCACTGTTCTACAACATTGTGGCTGTCAAATAAATGAGGGCAATTTATTTGACAATTTGAAGTCGTCATATTACCATGCAAGTGCAATTTTGTATGTTTTTAACGTCTCCTAACATTGATGTTCTTTTGCAGGGAGTTGGCATACCAGATCGCAGAGCAGTTCCGTGTTATGGGAAAACCATTGGGCCTCAAGGATTCAGTCATTGTTGGAGGCATGGGTGGGTGGCTCATACATTATCAGTGCAGTTTATCACTTGCATTAAAGTGATTCTGTTTACAGTTCACTTCATGTTGTCAACTCAGAACTGTAGTTACAGTCATACATATTAATGCTCGCACCCAGAAAATGTGAATGCATGTCTTGAGAGACACTAGCTAAAAAGTTATTGCTCACCATAACACTACATTATTCTTTTACAGAATAGCTGCTATCATAAGGTCAACCCAAATATGATGAGCTTAAGAGTTATATTTCTTAACACTCCTCAAGTGATGTGGTCCGATATTAAGATCAGGTCCAATACACTCACACTGGAATGGGTGGCATGTATGTGTGTGTTGCAGACTCCGTGCGGCAAGCCCAGGAATTGGCCCGGAAGCCTCACGTGGTCATCGCTACCCCAGGACGCTTGGCTGATCACCTCCGCAGTTCCAACACTTTCAGCCTCAAGAAAATACAATTCCTGGTAAGCCTAGCACTGCTATATATCTTATCAGTACTTTAGGTACTTTAAGAAAATCACTATGAAAATTGTTTCTGATGAATGAAAACATGGTCATCTATCATTTTTTTAATGTTTAATATATTTGTGAATTGGTCATATACTTTTCATGGCAGATTGGCAGAATTTTACTGTCATTTTATAGACATATCCTAAGCTACTATCATATCTTTCTGCTACTTTATCAGCAAATTATTGATGCTACCAGCAATATCTAATGTTTTATGCCAAGTGAACTGAACCTAAATATATCTAAGAATAGGTGAACACATGTAAAATCAATAATGAAAGTATAATTTAAGACATTGGTGAATTCTATTTGGGAAGTGAGTTGTTGCTTGCTGCTTTGCTGCCAAGCCGTCACGGTGTTTCGCTTTCCGTAGGTCATGGACGAGGCTGACCGTCTGCTGGAGCAGGGTGCCACTGACTTCACGAAGGACCTCCAGGTGATCCTGCAGGCCCTGCCAGCCAAGCGGCAGACGCTGCTGTTCAGCGCCACGCTCACCGACACGCTGCAGGAGCTACGCAACCTTGCGCTCACCAACCCCTTCTTTTGGGAGTCCAAGGAGCCGTGAGTGCCTTCAAGACTCATCACTCTCAGTATCAGTCGTTGCTGTGAGCTGTCATTGCTGTGCTTCTGATAAATGTCCAGTACCTTTAATTTTTGCCTTGTTTTAACTTACATATTTCTCTCAAATATACTGAATTTGGTAAATTACTTGATAGCAATGCCATGGCTTGATATACCTTTAGATATCATGTTTTGCATGTGGCAGACTTTAGTAGTTGTCAGCGTTTGATGCAATGTTTTCGATTTCACAAAAGGGTACGGACAGTGGAGGAGCTGGACCAGCGGTACATCCTGGTGGCAGACAAGGTGAAGGACGCTTACCTGGTGCACATCATCCAGAAGATACAGGACGCTCACGACGACTGGTCCATCATTGTTTTCACGAACACCTGCAAGTGAGTGCCTCACCCAAGCGATGTTTAAATCTGTGTGGCCTTGCCCAGCTCATGGCATTGTGAGTCATTAGTACACAAACCCAGTTGATTTTTGTTGTCATTGTATGTTAATTATTCTCTGCTTGCTTCCAGGAATTGCCAGGTTCTCAATATGATGCTGCGTCACTTCAACTTCCCAAGTGTGGCACTGCACTCCATGATGAGACAGGTAATTCTAATCTCTGTAACCAAATTGCAGCTGCCAGAAAATATTCTATTTAATTTACGAATTCAATTAAGCGGCAATTTATTTTTTTCAGACTGAGCGATTTGCGTCGCTTTCCAAATTCAAATCCAGCGTGTTCAAGATCCTCATTGCAACAGATGTGGCTTCAAGGTAAGCTGAACTTTTCCGATATCACATGAATTGTAATTTCGATTTAAAGCTTTCGTGACTGCAGGGATTCATCTTCTTGGTTCATTCGGTAAAGTCACGTAGAAGGGAAGTAATAAAATAATAAAAATAAAAATAAAACATTATTATGTTTTATTTTTATTATTTTATTACTTATTACTTCCCTTCTACGTGACTTTACCGAAAGAACCAAGAAGATGAATTGTAATGTCCCAATTGTCCGGGAAGTTCACAGACACATGACATTAAAAAGCTGGTTTCATTATTCTGCTTATACTTTTATAAATTTGAATGCGCTTATGCATTTAGATAATGTGTCAATATTGATTTGAAGCTTTCGTGACTGCAGGAATCCATACTCTTTGGTTCTTTCGGTAAAGTCACGTAGGTAGAAAAATAATATAAATCACGACGTTTCTGGTGCTTGTGTTGCGCCCGAAACGTCGTGATTTATTTTATTTTATACCTACATGACTTTACCGAAAGAACCAAAGAGTATAATGTGTCAATAGCTGCTAATCGATAAGCACTCGCTGGTCATCAGTCTTGAAAATGTATATCATTGCATTAATCCCAATTTTTTGTCAGATTCACGTATGAAATTCAGTCCACTGTTTTTGCTCATGCGTTCCTTTTGGGCCAGGGGTCTGGACATCCCGACGGTACAAGTGGTGCTGAACCATAACACACCATCGCTGCCCAAGACCTACATCCACCGCGTAGGGCGCACAGCACGTGCAGGTGGGTAAAGCACAGATCTCGCCGTATCAGTTTTTACAATTGTACAAACTTAATTGGCTGTACCAGCCTAACCGACATTACGGTTGCACCAAGTCCCAAAAAGAAATTAATCGAGTGGTAATAATTTGCAGCTCTTTGTCAATCCACTGCTGATTGAAGACCTTCCCTCGTCTGTCATGGGGCTTGCTTGACAATATCATGGGGAGCAGTGATGCAGCGGTTAGCGCGCCGTGCTACGAACCCGGCGACCCGAGGTGGATTCCCGCTCATGGCCAACACCAGTGACGATTATCTGAACCGGTCCTGGGCCTCCCCTAGGTCGACTCGGCCGCTAATGCGTACCTGGCGCGGTGTGTAACCATCGCCGTTGGGGAGACAAAAGTGGCCGGGCGTGATGCTGGCTACTCCCACCCCCTCATGTGCTGTGCCGGCCTTCATAGGTGCTCGCTTATAACAGCACTTGCCCCAAAAGTCTTTTAAGGCTACATGGGGGATCTTTGTCTTTGATCATACCTCACTAGGCATGTCAGTGCAGGATGGTGAATGGGGGGACCAGATGAGGTGTTGCTCCTCGCCACCGATGTATTCCGTAGCTCGGAATCAAATTCGGGCTGCTAGGTTTTGTAGCGCAGTGGACGAACGACTGCACAGCCGCTCGCAACATAATTTACATTCACGTTTCTCCTGCCACAGGAATTTCATATTTTAAAGCAGTGGCACTGCTGGGTTGGGTAATTATGATCATGAATATAGATTTATGAATGGCTTAATTGGCCTGTGGAGACATTAAAACCATGATTCAGATCGCAATGTTGGAAACGCCTGCTCATTCATCAAGTTAATCTTTTTTTTAATTCACAGGAACTTTTTGTGCTCAAGTAATGAACTTGAAACATATTTTTTGCATATTTTTTTTACATAATTAACCGGTGATTTAACTTGGTGCAGCGTGTGAGCATGCAGCAGTAAATGTTGTTTGCGTGAATTATGCCATCACTCTCTGCTCTCTTGACAGGGCGCAATGGAGTGGCTATCACCATCGTGACCCAGTACGACATCCACCTGGTGCAAGCCATCGAGGAGACGATCCGTGAGCATTCACACTTTCAAACATCTCTGTTAAAATTCACCATCAATTGATCCACTCTACATTACAAACTCGTCACACCGTTAGCCTAAATTTAATATTAGCCTATCATTTTAAAGTAACTTACATCAATGGTACGTAATCAAATATTGCATGTACAATTTTGATCCATGCATCCTGAGCATGAAAGGATTAAAATTAATTCTGGAATGCTTGTCTTTGTACCTGCCATATTATATATATCCTTCCGGCAACAATACCTTTAAGCAGCTAGAAAGACATTTGTACTTGAGATATACATGACTTCATGAGCCCTACAAAAAAGTTGACACTATGCGTACACATTAAGTAGTAATAATAATGTACTTTGTTTTTGGAAAAGCTCAATGAATCTGAAGACATGGAGAATAATTGTATGTCTCCGCACCTCCTATTCGCACAATCGGCTACATAAACTGTGAACGAAGTTCTACATGTCTCACCATTTGTGACACTTTCCCAAGGAGAGGTGTGTGGGGAAGTGGATGGGTTTCACATCCCCCCCCCCCCCCCCCCGTGGTTTGCCTTGTCCCCTAGATACGAAGCTGAAGGAGTTTGTAACGGAAGAGAAGGAAGTGCTCAAGATTCTGACGCAAGTCAACGTGAAGCGTCGCGAGTGCGAGATCGTAAGTCCCCCTCGCATTCTCGGCTTCTCGGAGCTCGACGCCTTTTTAAAGAATTGTTGACGAGACAATCCGTGGCGGCGAGGAAAGAGGAAATGGGTTAAACGTTCGTTGTGGAGAATAGCACGGATGTAATGTGGATTCGCTTGGATTTGTCGAACTCGTAAAATACTCTTTTAATTATTCCTAACGTATTTTTTTTTATATAACCAACACAAATGAACAAGCAAACAATTCCTCCCCATATTTGTCCCTCTGCACATAAAATTCTAGTTTTTCTACACACAACATTAGTCACAATGACATAATCTTTTCATAGTCTTGTTTTCCACAACGATGCTGATCATGAATTTGTGTTGTGTTTAATATCATTTTGTGTCGAGATAGGACCCATATCTATCAAAGAGGGTTCGTGCCAATAAACAATCTGGCAGTTATCTAGCATTTGTTCAAGCAAGCCTTAATGCTGATGAGACACTGATTTTTTTTTAAACCCACTCCAGAGTTTCCTTGTCTTACACCAATTCTGCTGCAATTATGCACTCCCCCCAGAAGGCCATGGTGGCTGATGGGATGCATAGAAAATACTTGATATATTTTTTGTGTAAAGGGACAGATGTGGGAAGCAGACAAGTCTAATTTATTGTGTTTGCTTCATTCCGCTGTGTGACTATACCTCTGCGTGTTATCAACCCTAACCTGTGTTTAGGGTACATTCCACAGTACTTGCAGCTAAATGTTGGTGAATGCAGTGGACTTGGTTATTTAAATACCAGCTGAGATGAAGTGCAAGTTTATGATGTTTGAAGCCGAGGTGTTGATCTTTAGACTGCATTTGCTCGGCACGCCAATCCCACCTGACTGCAGTGATGACACGGGTTACGTAACGCTCGTTGTGATCGATCTGCACGTTTCAGAAACTGGAGGAGGAGGACTTTGATGAGCGAAAGGAGACTAATAAGCGGAAGCAGATGATACTGGAAGGGAAGGTAAGTCTACATACGTGGTCATCGTTTACAAGTTGTGTTTTCATGCCCGGTGATACTAAATTTACTGCAATTAATGTATCAAGGTGTAGCTTTTTTGTTGATACAATGAGTTGTAATGGCAAATGTTGGCCCATTTATCATTTGAGATTGATGTACACTACACAGGGTAGTACGGAGGTTACTTGATCTGATGTTTTCTTATGATGGAAGACCTTGTGTCCCACCTCCACAGGGGCAATGAACGTATGCACATGTCTCGTATATCTCGCTGGGTACTGCTGTGATTATAGCACTAGACTTGCAGTGAGGTTTCAAGTTGAAATCTCAATTGGGGAACAACTCAACTTCTCATCCCTTCTGGACTCTACAACAATTACCACTTCGTGGGAAATCTACAATGCGCATCCTTTTCGGTGAATAGCCTCTGCCAAGGGACGGTGGAATTTCCACAACTGACTTGGAACAAGCTGCTTGCCCCATGGCTTATGCAGGGGAGGTGGGGATGCTTTCAATTTTTAAACGTACATTTTCCAAAGTTTTTTGTTGATGAACTCTGATAGAGATGAATTTTTTGTCAACTTCAGGATCCCGACATTGAGGTGAAGAGGAAGGCAGAGCTGCTGAAGATCAAAAAGAAACGCAAAAAGGAAAGGCTCGCATCCAGAATACAAGAAAAGCTCGAGAAGAAAAAGCAGAAGCAGACGTGAAGGCCGCAGGAAAGCCAATGCACACCAAACGACGTAGTAGTATAAAAGTAATTTTAAGTCAATTTCAAATATTAACTGTGAATTACTGACATTTAACTCCTTTATAATGCTACATTGATGTCATATGTGGGTTTTCTGGGGAGTTAATACCATGATTTGGGAAATTCAGCCATTTGTGGCTTGCCACAAGCTCCCATTGAAATCCTGTAATTTTTCAGCTTTCTGTTTTTGTTAATGCAACACGTTCATCATTGACACTGCCGTAGAAGGATATAACACCCAGCATTTCGGGCAATGGCACACATTGGCCTGCTAAAATTGGATGAATGAACGAGCAATTTGATTTCTTAGCGGAACTTTTCGGTCACTTGCCGATTAAGCATGAATAATGTTTCAATGTGTGCTTCTTTGCCAAGTTTTTTTAATGTTCCACCTTTTGGTAAAACGTAACAAAGCACATCGTGTATATGTATATAAAATGTATGTATATTTTACAGAAAATATTTAATGGATCTCAAAAAGTGGGTAACGTTTAAAAAAAATAAACTTATGTATGCAACGGCTCATGTTATGTTCTACGTGAATTTCCTTACGAAAGAACCATTTATTGAGGTCCTAGAAAAAACTTCTCAGAGGGACATGACTAAAGTCTTAATGGAAGATGATTCCTGAGTGTCGGAGTTCATTTGACAAGCTCTCGTCGTCACCAGGGCCAGCCACACAAGTAGTCGTATGAACAGACGAGTTCTGCATCAAGGACCGTAATGCCTCAGAAGGATGTACCGGGCAATGAGTTCTGAGTTATGCTCAGCGGGGTGGGAGGTGGATGTTGAGATTTCCCACTACGTAGCTAATTGCAGGTGTCGGGGAAGGACAACAAACCCAAAAATCAGTTGTGAAGAAATTAGTTTTCAAATCTAGATTTAAAAGTGCATGGCTCCAGTGGTGGCGAATATCGGCAGAGCGTTCCAAATGGCCGCAGAAGCGCATCTGAAATCGTGCGATGCGGTAATGATGGCCTGCCAAAAGCGGCTGCTGCTGCAAGGATGACCATAGTTCGTGTGGTGGTTTATGCTCCTTGACGGGATTTGTAGCGAGGTATTGTAGCTCATTTGTGGTAATGGTGGGGGGCCCTGGGAGTTGTCAAGTGCGAGGCAGGGGCATCCAGGTGTGGGGACGTGGATGTGGGGAGGACCTTTAGTCACGGCGGGTACTTTCGCTACATTATAAACAAAAAGATTTGCAGGCTGGAGGGACGGACAGAGGGTGACGTCCAAAGGACAGACATGCTGCTGGTTTGTTATAAAGAACGAGACTTTTGCCCGTCCAAGGACAAGTGTATTGTAGTAAATCTGAAACTTGCAAGCAAAAAGCAGAGCGCGACGTGGTATTCATTGCATCAATGCGTGTGCAATTTGTAAGGCCGCGGTGACACAGACGTATTTCATTTAAAGGTTAAAATTCCTTGTTCAGCGTGACGTCCTTTTTACTTTGATGTCTCAACAGCGTGACGGAGACCACGTGACGTGAGGGTTCTGCCTTTGTAGTGAGGGTTGTCAGTTGACGCCGAGGAGGGGGGGAGGAGGCACCTGCCCCCCCCCATGTGGAGTGACGTCATCTGCTAATTATGAATGGAGGGGGGGATGTCCATTTGGTGGACGTCACCTTGTAATGATTATTAATGGAGCTGTTCGATGTGGAGACGTCACCTGCTCATGAATATTAATTAGGGGGGGCTGGTTGATGTGGAGTGACGTCACGAGCGTTAAGGACATTCCTGGGTGATTATAGTCGGTATAACCTGAATATTAAGCTTTGTGCTATGCCATGCACTGGATTTAAAACTTTATTATTAACAAAGATACAATTCATTATTCCAAAATACTAGAAATGGGAGCCAAACCAAATGTTATATTCAACGGTGTCAAAGGATGCAGAAACATCTAAGGTATATATTACCACCAGACTGAATTTCTGAGAGATGAAAGCACTAAATATAAAGCAGAAGCTGTGATTCAACCACTCTTAAGCAGTTTATCCAAATGGATGAGGAATTTGGAAATTGGTAAAATGTTACACCAATAATGGCTAAGTGGATTTGCACGACCTGATTTCAAAGCATCTGAAAAAGCACCAGATAGTTCAATGTGAAAAGGGTTCTCAGTTCACTATTCTCATAAACCATCAGTTAGCACGGCTAACAATAAGGATGGCAATAAATATACAAACAGTTTGCATTTCTGTTTAAGTCTATCTTTAGATTAAGGGAGGATACAGCAATGGGCTTCATAAAGTTAAAGCGCATGTGCGTACATTTACATTAAGATTCACAATTCACCGGTTATTACTATTCTGCCCGTTATTGGCAGCCTGTTCTTTGCTGTTCTTGCCAAGGGCTCCCACTAGAAACGGGTTGCCTAATGGACATCTGGCTGAGAGTTACCAGCCAAGGCCGTGGAGCAGCACTGCCACCGCCAGTGGCCATGGCAAAGACAATGTGTGGGCGGCATGCTTCAGAGTTCCACATTGCACGTCTGACAGATGCACAAGTCTGCCAGCGCAGTTGGGCGTGGGGGGTGGAATGTCACCACTGGGAGTCCTGGGTAATTTTCCACGTGTGCCCACTGACACAAACACCCCCGAAGCCGCCAAGCCAAGCCGTACTCTCACGAATCCTACTTTTTGGCTTCTTACATCTCCCAAGTGCCGTTGTTAAATAACAAAATTGCATGTGCAGACGATGTTTCCTGCACATCCCTCCACGTAAAAAAAAAAGTGTGGATTCAATATATTTGGCGGTTGGACGTCTTGCATAGTTGTAATGTGCTATCTTATTCTTGGTTCTTTCGGTAAAGTCACGTAGAAGGGAAATAATAAAATAACATAAATATGAAACAATAAAAATTCTCACGACGTTTCGACTGCAACACAAGCAATTATCAGGTGTGAAATCCACAGCAAGAAAATCTGATGATTGCTTGTGTAGCAGTCGAAACGTCGTGAGAATTTTTATTTTTATATTATTTTATTATTTCCTTTCTACGTGACTTTACCGAAAGAACCAAGAATATAAATCCCTGCAGTCACGAAAGCTTTAAATCAAAATTTTATGCACTATCTTGTTGCCTGCTCACCTTGTGAACCGTCACAGCACATTGGATGCACTCACGGGGCGTTTAGTAGGATTGGCCAGACAAGAGGCTCCTGGTGTGAACCTCAAGTGGAAATTTGGTTCTAAAGCTTCTCATCTCCTGGATGTTTTCCTGCTGCTGCCGTTGCTTGACAACCGTGGAAGGAGGCACCGCGGCCCCATCACTGGTGCCACCTGGGGAGTGTTGAATGCTGCTTCAACCATTCACGTTGGTTTCCACCCCATCGTTGGTGCATCACCAATGCACGACTGATTAGCTGGTACAGAAAATCTCTGAGCCAGACTCCAAGTCCGAATTTGGGGTCAGCTGGAGTTGCACGAAATAAACCAAAACGCAAATTACAAAAAAAAACCTCCAAACTAAACGCTGTTCATGAGTTAGTTTGTGCAGTTAAACATGCATAATGCAATAACAATTCTAAATATATACTTAGCTACCCCACATTTAGTTTCTTTTACAAATAAATGATTCAAGCCTGTAAGAAAAAAAACTTCATCCTGCCACATCCAGTGACGCTCACAGCCTTCAAACTTTGCTTCAGGGTCATGGGAAGTGACTCGGGTTAAACTGTAGAACTGCACAGCCGAGGATGTGCACTGCTCACTGCAAGGTTAAAAGTGGCACGTTTTGAAAGAGTTTGATGGGGGAACATTACATAAGATGCGGTAGGAGCAAAGGTAATAGGGCAATATTATTAGGTATGATGTACACACCGTTTTTAAGAGACACACACAGGTCTTCTCCCAGAAGCCGGTGAACCAGTGACCCCAGAACCAACCTGCTTAGCGTTGCTTCATGATGAACATTGGACAAGCAAACACAACGGTAAAGTCAACGTACAGACTCGGGCTCTGAGAACCAACGACATTGCTTTTGAGCAGTCCGATTGCACTAACAAAAAGGCGGTGTGGATGCACAAATTAATCAATGCTTGCCATCTGTTATAGGTAAAATAATTCTGAATAAAAACAAATTTAATGCAATAAAATATTGAAACAAAGTTCAAACTTTATTTTCGACAGCCTAACACCAAGAAAAATGCGCCGTTCCAGTATGCAGCCACAAACACGAGCACAAATTAATTCTCGCAAAAAGGATAACCAGCCAGCATTGGTGAATCAGCTAAACGAGATCCTTTTCCGTGCAAAAAATGAAGTCAAATGAACCACATTACAGCTGCATTGTGAAAACATTCTGTGTAACTTAGAATTTTAGTTTTTATTTTGCTACAAAATATAAGGAGTTGCTTTTTTCTAATTTGAGATAAAGTTGGTGACCAAAACATACTTTAACTATTTGCTATATCCAATCTGACAGATAAAAAAGCTTTGGAAAAATCTTGCAAAGCAAGGTTTCATTTGAATGCATAATATAACGTTCCAATAGCAGGTATCAGCAAGCTATCTTATACAGCTCTATGATGAGCACAATGCAAGTTTGAACCCAAATTACTGTTCAAATGGATTTCAAATTGCATAATTTATAGAAATATAATTCACATTACAGCCCTTGCATGTATGGCCACTGTTAATTTTCTCAGCCTTTTGAATTTAAATTATCTTGCAAGTACAGAAAAATCCGTGACATTTTTTGAATATTTTATTTGCTTGTAAATAAATAAAATGGGCACGAATTCAAATCTACGTTCAATCTTAGTCTACATTTTAGTTTAGTCCTAGACCTGGATACTCTTTACGATAACCTGTAACCTCTTTCATGAAAAATGTTAAAGAGCCCAATTCACGTGGTAGTGAATAGTATTTTTTTCATCATTTGACAAAAAAATGGCCAAAAGCTGATGTTTCAGCTGTTTTGTCAAAATACGAATCTGGCCCAAAGTTAGTCTCCCCACAATCAAACGACCAATTGTCGATGCTCCTCTCGGTTAACGGCACAGCCAGTTAGGAGAACATGTAATATCCCTACGGCAGAAGCCTAAACGCGGCACTCCGCATCAAGGACGAGTCAAATCCTTTGGTTATCCTGAACAGCCAAGAGTGCAGCAGTGCCATGAAGACCATGCAGCATGTGGCTCATTCACCACAAACTCATTGTTGGACACTGCAGCACTGTTCAGTGGGCGCGCTGTGCATTCATGTCAAAATTAAGATCGACGCACAACCAAAAATTGGCGCTTTACGAGTTGACATCTGATCGTTCAAAAATTATTAGTAAAAACTGTTGTTCCTTTTAAATCTTGGGTGTTTGTGTAAGTCTTACAGTCCACAAAGCGTCAAACCCTCACATTAATTAATGTCCAGATTGTTGACTTCATTGCTCCAGTGCATTTTGCGAAAATATAAAGCGAGCCAAAAAATAAACACCACGTCACCTGTGGGTGGTGTAAGGCTGAGAAAATTAAAATGGCAAGACAGAGAAACGTCATCACATCGGTGTAAAGCAAATGATCTGAC